AGAGAGACAGAAAGCAAGAAACCACCCCCCAGGGGGGATGGCCACACCGCAATCCCTTCTCCTCCGTTCTCCTCTCAGGATCTTGGGCACGCACGCACACTCACCCGGCATGAGTTTTAAGCCACCGGGTCCAAGACGCGAACTGTGGTCGACCACGTGGGAGTCCAGCAAAACAGGCATCATGCTAATTGCTGGTCCACCCATGCATACACTTGCTCTCTTTCTCTCTTTCCCCCATCAAGTGTATACACCCTGTGCCAATATTTTTAATTTTTTAAATGAAACATAAACATATTTATGGTACATTCTTTAGGGATCAATCCTTTCTTATGTAAGCTAATTTTTCAACTGTGTACCTTCTAGAGAATTTTAGAATGTATGAGATGAAACTATAGATAAGAAGTGGAATATAAAATTATAAGTGATTTCCTTATAAATAACTCCTAACCTAAGAAAAATGAGCATATCATTTGTAGTAATTGACTATTGATGATTGTTATATATTAATGCTTTACAATGAATCATCCAAAAATGTAATTACTTACAACTTGTAATTAATTACTTAATCTCAAGTATCACAGGTTTGCAAGTTAGCTGTGGATCAACTCATATAAGCTAGGCTTGAGTGGGTAGTTCTGTTTCAAGCTATAAGTTGCCTAGGTTTGGCTCCCAACTATGGCTTGTGTTTAAGACTGCCCTATCTTTTATTCTCCTTAAACCAGCAGCTTCAGGAGAATCTTCTCATCATGGTAAATGTCAGAAACAAAATCAAATCCATTTATGTAATACATTTAAGCCCTTTGTTCGCTTCATGTCCACTAGCATTTCATTGGTCAAATCAAGTCATGTGGTCAAGATCAACATGAATGACATGGATGTGTCCCCTGTCTGTGGTGAAGCACAGTGGTTTGGATGTATTCCCTGTCCATGGAGGAGCACACTGAGATATTGGGTCTTTGGAAAAGTCATGATGCAGTTTTGTGTAGAAAACATTAAAAATATGTCCCAACTTTCCCAATAATCCTGTTACAGAGGATTGACAAATTGGGACCAACAAGCTAATCTGCAAACCACTGTATTTGAATTGTCTTTACTCTGTGACCAGAAATCTAGAGACCTAATTTAAAAGAAGAGGCAAGACAATATGCCAGTAGTCAGCATACATCAGATTGTTTCTGTAGTTGCTGGAATGGATTTATTCTGAGTTACATTCCCTTCTCTTCCCTACTCCATGCACAGTTCACAAAAGGAACTACAGATACCAGAATAGCAATTGGTGGCCATGATGTTGGCATTTTGTCCTTGCAAAACTCCACCATATACAATTAAATATGGACTGCACTTATATTATAGTCCAATCAGTAGACTGTTCCCTATAGTTATATAGATCTGCTTTGTAGGAGTCTCATTTTAGTTCTATAAAGTGTATAAAATATTCTTTCAAATAGTGCATGCTCAGTAAATATGAGTTCAGACAGTAGAGAGGAGGGTAGGTAGATTATAGACACTGGAGAAATGAGAAGGATATAACCAGTAGAATTTTCACAGATGACTGCGCATTTTGGCATAGGAAAGTAAACTGTTATGTCACACTCAGTATGAATGCTATGGAAATTTATTTTCTGAGATAAATATGGGATCTTAAAGGTGTATTAACTAAGAGAATTCAGCTTGTGTGTGACATTTTTCAAGCTAACAAAATAGTCTGGCATTTCCCTCTATTGTTTCATGTTTATTGAAAGCTTTTTAAAATCCCTTCTTAAAACAAGTTTACATGCCTCACTCTACTTAACTTTTTATTGTTTATGGGCTTCCTGTGAAGATAGCTAGACAGACAAGGCTGATAAAAAGAAAGATTGTCCTTATCAAATACTTAAAGTTAACTGTGTAATGTGATTTTTCCCCCCTACCAGTGGAAGCTCACTTTCTCACTAAGAACTCACCCATTTGAGGCATTTAAAATGGATGGAAGGTTATAAACCAGCCAAAGTGTCCTTCTAAAAGAGAGTGAAATGAATGCTAATCTAATTGCTCAAGAATGCCTGGGCTGGGCTTTATAGCAAGACTTCTACATTGGTTCCCCCTGCTGGATTTAAGGATGCACTGTCTTGGAAATTGATGAAAGCAATATATCTGAACCCTTTCAGCTGAGGGCATGTTACTCAAATGGCAAATGCAGCATTCTTCTAGAACATATTTACTCCGTGGAAAATATGCCAAGTGTTTCTTGAGTTTGTTTGCCAAGGTCAGAAATGCTGCAAATAGAAAAGTGTGCAGCCAAGACAAAAGACAACCAAAGTTTGCTGCACAGTTGCCTATGTGAGGCATAGGGTGGCATGCATGGGGACTAAGGGGAAAAAGCTGGGGGGAGATTAGGTAAACTACCAGACTAGCTGTTATTCTTAGATAGCTAGATTTGGGAGTCTGACCACAAATTTCCTTGTCATGCATTTAAAATTGCTGGAACCATTTTCTCACATTCCTGCGACTTAATTTTTGTTTCTCTT